TATACTCAGGACATAAATATTAACAATCCATATAAAGCTAAGGCCAATGAGCATCACTAACAATCGAAGTAAAGATATCCCAAATCTTTTAAAGCAGTTGAAGTTGCAGTGTAGTCTGGCATGCATTCGAATATGCGCTTTGCTTATCAACTTGAGTGGCAGACCGTTGACTATGGCTACAACATTTTGGATGTTTTTAGATGAACTGCTAATTGCCACATTTTACATGATAGATTCATCCCGTATGCTCTCGCCAGGGAACCAGCGAACAAAGGTGTATTTTCAGTGGTATTTTTTTGCACCAGGAGTTTGTGGGAATGGATCTTTCAGTTATGGTTCGATTCAAATACAGCGTAAAATTCCCTAATATTTGCATAGTCGTTTTAAGATATGAACGTCAAAAGTCAGTGAACTGACTACACATGCTCTGGAAGGCGAAGGACGTTGAATTTTTCAAATGTGTCCTCTAACTCGTTTATTGACCACCAGTTATGCGTTTTATGTTTCCACCCGACGTCGGACTCATAAGACTAACAGATGGAGAGTACCAACAGAAAATTAATAACGCTGACAAGCGGACCCGAAAACTGTGCAACAAAAAGTGTGATAGGTCTAAGGCTGCTATCATGCACGGTACTTCCATTTGCGGCCGCAGCTGCATAAGATAATGACGATTTTTCTCCCTAAATATCAGCGTGAGCGAAAAGCCACGTTTTGCGGCTGTTCAATAGCTGCGCGTGAAGTCACGTATGTCTGGAGGTTTAACATTAAATTACATAACCAGTGGATGGACCAAAATTAAGAAGCTGCAAACTGAACCCACGCCCGACGGAACCATTTTCCACCCTTCGCATGACGAGGGGGGCTGACAGGCATCCCTACTAACTTTGAACTATGACAGACAGAGGATCGGGATGGAAACCAGTGTGTTGCTCATTATCTTAGCTAGCTAAAGGTACGCGGCTTCTTGTTTCCAGGTCACGTTAATGGCAACAAACTCTCCATGCTGGAGATGATAAATAATTTTCTCGCTGGTATAATCTCCAAACTCTCAGACGAAAGTCAATTATATAAGCACAAGGTTCTCCTGTGGTTTAGTTCAGTTCTGGAAGTGTGCGAGTTTAAGGTATGCGTCAAATGAGTGACCTCTGTAGCCAAGGAAACATCACCATTGCCGACATCTATCAATGGCAATAGATGGCCAACCTTCCAAGTATCACCTTCCTCTCCTGGGTCAATTCGTGACCTCTGAGGTCAAGGTAGGCTTTTGGGTTCACGCATGTTTTGTATTGCTTTGCCGTGAAATTATTGAGCTTTTGAAGATCAGTGTCGCTTGCATACAAGGGTCAACAAACAAAGGTAGTCGGAACATACATAAAAACCAATGAATAGTTTTTACACTAATCACGACGAAAACCATATCTAGCAGGATTTATCCTTTTACATGTTTCTTACCTAGCATGACTTTGCCAAAGAAGTTTGCTTTAGATGGTCTCGTGATAATTGTCAAAATGATGTTTATGTAATAGATTGTAGAAAACAGCATAATTGCAAGTGTAGGTGTCATGAGTCGTACATAAAAGAGAAACATTGATATGTTTTAACTAGCTTGACCTCCGATGACCGGATCCCTTACACTCTGACACAATCAGGACTGACAGCACTGACATCGAAATGGATTTGATCTATAAAACAAACTAGTAGCGCATACGAATTGCCAACAAATGCTCTGTATTGTTGATTTGGTAAAAAAAAACTGACTGACATGACCTTAACAAATCGGTCATAAGTCACGAACTATAAAGAAGCTGAAAAATTGACAGGTCGTGACAAGCTGGTACAATGTCTGGTACTAGTAAGCATCCGACATCTTTATTAGTGTCCCAGTTACACAAGACCATCTCAGTGAGGCCCTGGCAGCCCCCCCCTTATCGGGCGATAGGGGGGGGGGGGGGGTGATAGATGAGTGAGGTCCCTCGTGCTACGCCTTTCAATGATGGTGGGCATGAATAGCACACAGTACCGAAGGCTGTGAATACATAAACATGCCACCACCTGCGAAGGCTTAGTGCTATTCATGCTCGCTCTCTTCGTTTTCGCGCCATGCGTAGTTCTTCAGATGGTGAAGTTTGGCCCGTGTGGCTTATTTGACGCGTCAAGTGTCGCGGACCACACCCAATAATGCGCGACTGTTCGTCGGCGATTTAGCGTAGCAAGGGTCATACAATGCCTCTCCCCTCATTATCCTAGCACTAATTGGTTCTGTTGATGAAGGCGAGGTCCAAATGCACTAATTTTGCAATGTTGGCTCCACTTGACCTGGCGTCAAAGTTTGATTGTGCTGACGTGCAAATGCGCTGATCTGATACAGTTTCACTTGAGCTACGATATTCTTCTTTCCACTTGAATCCTGCATGCGTGTCCTTCAAGATCACAGGAGCCACGCCACGCCCGGGCAGAGGGAGACAAATGGGCGCCCAGAGATGGTCACAACCTTCGACAGCTTTTAAAGCAAAATGCGTATGTGGAACTCACTCAGCCTTCGGATGGCGTGCTTTTTATCGGCAGAACATTCCGGCCATTTCTAACGAGAGGAGAAATTGTGATGCAAAGTGCCCGAGGGGAGGGCTGGTGGAGGGTACCGAAGACCATCTGATCTCCTGACCGTGGGAAATGCGAACACAAACTGACAACAATGTGTGACCCACGCGTCGGCGGAGAAGATTTGCTGGAATATCTGGCGCGATCGCTGCGACACCCGAGGAGGCTTGCGGATCGGGAATGCTTGATCCACGCCGCCTGAATGGTCTTCAAAGGTCTCCATTTAATATCAAGGACGGGAGATATGGGGTAGCTCCGATGGGTACGACCATCGCGTGGGGGGAAGAAGGCTGCCCATCGCGTGTGGGGAAGAAGGCTGACCATCGCGTATGGGGAAGAAGGTTGACCATTGCGTGTGGGGAAGAAGGCTGCCCATCGCGACCACTGTGTGTGGGGAAAAAGGCTGGCCATTGTGTGTGGGGAAGAAGGCTGCCCGTTGGGTGTGGGGAAGACGGCTGCCCATTGCGACCATTGTGTGTGGGGAAGAAGGCGACCATTGGGTGTGGGGAAGAAGGCTGCCCGTTGTGTGTGGGGAAGAAGGCTGCTCATTGCCACCATTGTGTGTGGGGAAGAAGGCGACCATTGTGTGTGGGGAAGAAGGCTGCCCATCACGACGCTATCATCGGTCATTCAAAGTCTCCAGTCGTCTGGGGCCTGGACCAGCACGGGAGGGCGCAGACAACTGCCGGTGGCTTCGGCGGGGGCCGCCGGGCCGGCCGGCAGGCGGGCGCGGGGGGAGGGGTCCGCGCGCGCGCGCCGTACGAGGCCGGCCGACCTGAGGCACCGCCCCGCGTCGCGCCGGTCCACCCGTCTGCGACCGCATCCGCACTGCACCGATGTATAACAAGCATCATTTTTCTGTTGAAGGCTTTCGATGTAGAATTGAACGGCTATTTCTAAAACAGATGTATTTAACAACCGAAGGTGCGATCAGCATTGGGAAATCGCCACTTAAGGCTTGCATTGCCTACGTAATATTTTGTCCAGACGGGAAAATGTCCCATAGCTGCGGAGTTATCATTATTTAACTTACTGCATGACCATCATTACGCCATTTAAGGCTTCATCACCGATGGAAAACCGTTGGGTGCAGAGATCTAAGAGCTTCCAAATTGCGATCAGTGCGCGAGATAACATTAAACACTAAGTTTTTTCCGGATTCGAGACGGTGGTATTTACGTGACTGGTTAAGTTGGCGTGTTGTGACGGCAACTCACAAAAGACAGTTAATTATGCATTATAAAAGTTGCGTTCCTTCTTAATCGATTGCCATGGATAACTCGATTTGGCCAATCATTAGTATCAGCTGCTGTCTTTTGAGGCATCTGCCATGCCCATGATTTCCTGGCGCCTTGTAATTTCAGAACAAACGCATGGCCCGATGCTCTTGTTTATTTGGTGTTTGCCGTAGAAAGTGGTATGACGCGGGACAGACACACCTTATTTGACCACTACCCAGACCTCTGCGGCAGCTGCCACACGTGTCTGCGTCTGAGCGAACAAAAGCCGTACCTATTAAACACGACGAGCATTCTGTCTGAAGGGCCGGGCTGATAAGAGAACACAGTCATGTTTATCATGCGCACCAGAAGGAGAACCAGCGGAGCATAGATCATAACATGATGCACATCTGAGATCTATTGTGGTCTAAGGCATACATCTACCCCAGCACGTCGACAGACAGCGACTCCGAAGTGTACCCATCCTCACACAAACACACGAAAAATGACTGCGTCCCGCTTTCACTTCTCTCTGGTGTGAAATGATGAGAAATGAAGAAACAGAGTCATGAAACAAGTCGCACTCAAGCAGTGAGACGAGCATATCGAATATGTGCGTTTTGATCGCTCGGGCCCTCGCGCTAATCACTAAGCGATGCCAGCCGGCCGGCCGGTCACCAGGATTCACGGCCGCGGCGGCTCGTGACCGGCAGGTCCGGCTGCTCCGGCTGCTCGTGACCGGCAGGTCCGGCTGCTCCGAGGCGGCGTGCGCACTCCGTCCGCCGGCAGTTTGTACACCAGTCCGACGCCTGGCGCGCACCACTCGCCGCTCGGCACCACTCTGGCAGTGTCGCCGCGGCTCCTGCGGCGTCACCACGCCGTCCACGCTACCGAGTTCAGTCACAGAATGCCCAGCGATCGCGGCTCACACTCCCCGCATCATGTCTTTGCCTTCCCCGCAAGGCCATTGGAGCCGTACGTTTCAATGTCTGGTGGCCTTCGAACATGCCACGGGCCGCCGAATGCCCAGCTCTTCGCCAGCGACCCGGGGCTGAGCTGCAGAGTCGGGACGCCCGCGCACAGCGCTCCAGGAGCTGTATTCTCCAGCTCCGGGCACGACTCTGCAGCTCCCAGCCCGCGTCTGACGTCTGCTCCCTGCGACGTGTCTCGCGGCCACCCCTACGGCAGGCGAGACGGACGTACCATGCGCGGCGGCCGGAACGTCTCCACCACCTGCTGGTCCTCCTCCTTGCGCTGTCTGCGCAGGCGCCGGCAGAAGACGCAGCAGGCCACGGCCGAAGCGAGTAGCAGGAAGCCGCCGATGCCGCCGGCGGCCAGCAGCACGGCCGGCTTGAGGCACACGCTTGTCGACGTCCAGCCGCTGACCTGCGGCCGGCACCACCGAGACGGCGTTAACACCTCGGGACACAGTCTACGCGGTGGGGCGGACGCCCACGCGCCAGTCGCGTCAATTCGACCGTGCCATGCAGAGCCGGTTTTCGCCAAGTGGTCGTGATCTGCAGACCCGAGGACGTAGTGGTTGCAATGGTAATGACGCCCACACTGCCCGGACGGCGGGGCAAATAGGCAATTGAGAGCGGCGTCGAGGCCGAGAGGTCTTTGATTGCGTCCGTGCAAGCTCTGCCGTGCGACTTTTTTACATCCGTTATGTAGATTTCCCTACATGTTCCGGCTTTTCTGACGGCTTTCAAGTTAGCATAAGCACTGATATTGGAGGGCGTTCCTGTCTTAGTTTTGAAAATCCGACAAGCTCATCGCGAGTTTGCGGTCGATAATAAGTTCAACAAGCAGCTGCAGACGTCGTTTTTGACGGACACAAAGCATTTTGTCGTGGAGCGTTCACGGAGTGCCAGCGTCCGAGGAGGTCATATCAGCACCCGGGGGCCCTGTCCCGTCAAAGATTCGAGCACCCCCCCCCCCCTTCAATACATACTTTCATCCTACCTTTACTTACGAACGGGGGTCCAAACCACCTGGCTACTACCACGGCCGTCACGCCCAAAATAATTCGTATAACTTCAAGGGTTCTTTTATTGTTGATGCGTATACACATAAGTTAGGATCAGGTCACTTCACTGCTCCCCGACTTGCTGCTTTAATTCACATGTTCCTACAAGTCCGTGATACTCAAAGTTGTTGGTCATACTACTGTGTGATCATGATAAATATTAGTAGTAATAGTAAAATGATAGTGGGAAAATATCACAAATGGCGTAACAACACACTGATTCAACGCCTGCAGGCTGCCTCACAAGGACCTCTGATGGTGATTGAGCGTGACCCCGAGTGGTGTGAGCGACCCTGACCAACAGATAGCCAAACCGGTCGACGAATTACGTCAGGTATATCGAAAACAAGTAATGAACTGCGAATTGCGGCAGTGTAAGCCCCAATTTGTGACTTCATATTTCAGCGTCCTGAACGAGCATCAAGCTTTTGGCTACGGAATGTGGGAAGTGAAACACCTTGCCAAAACTACTTGGAATCGTTCGGAATTATTATAGAAATCAGAATAGGAGAATATCATCCCCAAGGCCGTGACATGATGAGGGAAAAAGTTTGCCTTTTCTCCGACATCGTCTGGGACATATGCAACCCAACGATTTACGATAACACCACTCAGTTATGGTGTGCTTACAGTAAAGCTCCTTTATGAATAAAAATGAACTAACATATGTGCTTTATTAACGATCCTATAGGCTACAAGGTAGTACAGTGGTCGGCTATTTGATCGGGACTGGACAAAACCGAAAGGGGGGGGGGGGGGGGCAGCGTGGCGCACCACTCGAGTCGCTCCTGGTCCGCTCCAGGTTCCTCGTCGTCCTTTGGAACCTGCAGCGCCTGGAAGAGCGCCAGGCTCTGGCGTGCGCTGGGGGCTCGCCGGCCGTCGGTTTCTCTTGCCATGTCCAGCTGTGGTACCGACGCTTCCCCCGGCGCCAGTGGCACGGCTGCGTCTGCGAACGACGGCACGGTCCGGTCAGCGCCGCCAGAGGAAAGACAGACGGCGGGAGAACCGGATCAGTGCCGCCAGAGAGGAGCCTGATGGCGGAGGACCGAGGATCAGCGACGATAGAGGGGAGCCGGATGCCGGGAGGAACGGATCAGCGACGATAGAGGGGGAGCCCGGACGGCGGGAAGACGATCAAGGCCGCCAGGGGGGAGCCGGATGGCAGGAGACCGGATCAGTGCGCCAGAGGGAGCCGGCGGCGGGAGGATGGATCAAGGCCGCCAGAGGGGAGCCGGATGGCGGGAGGACCGGATCAATGCCGCCGAGGGGAGCCGGGACGGGCGGTAAGGACCGGACAAGGCCGCAGAGGGGAGCCGGACGGCGGATCAAGGCCGCCAGAGGGGAGCGGACGGCGGGAGGAGGATCAGGACGCAGAGGGGAGCCGGACGGGGAGGACCGGATCAAGGCCGCCAGAGGGGAGCCGGACGGCGGGAGACGGACCAAGGCCGCCAGAGGGGAGCCGGATCGGCGGGGAGGACGGATCAGTGACGGTAGAGTGGGAGCCGGACGATGACACGTACCATATGCAAAGACTGCGCGCGACGACGATACGGCAGAGCTGAGCACGACACAGAAAATCAATAGGTTTAAATCATGTGAGGTGTTGTTTTTATGCTTTTCGTGACTATTTCATCGTAGGTCAGTGCGCTGCCTTGTATAATGTATTACAGATGGTGTTTGAATTGCCATTGGGTCTTTGTAATGGCATTAAGATTCCGTTCACAACGTGACCATTTTGTTCTTACTCGAACAGACAGCTCTATTGCAATACCGGCAACTAAGAAGCTTAGGATTCGAATAGAATAGTCTGACCTGAATATAAGCTGAAAAACTGAATATGAACATGCTGACGCTTAAGCTGATGCCAATCTTTTTTTAATCCCGCCTGTTACGTCTTTTTTGCCAGCGACAAGAAAATGACGCACCTAATGATGGGGATAAGTTAGAAATCCTCTACTCAGCCATGTATTTCGGATCCAAGGAATAATTGGTAAAGGTAACAATAAAATTATGACGCAGATAAACGCGTAAAAGGTTCCTCGCCGAGTGGCGAGACCTGTTCTGAGGGCACTTTTTTGGAATGAGAAACCATTTTTTTTCAAAATTCGAAGCTTGTTGGCGACCGGCTGCGGTAAAATCCTCGTGCGGTGATAGGTAAACGGACACGTGGCTTCGTGCATAGAATTGAGTTTGAATGTGGAGATTTCTATAGATGGCAGCAGCTGAAGCAGTTCCTCGCTGAACAGAGGGCGCTGACTTACCGGACATGCACCGTGGCACATGCGAACGTCACATTCGATGTAGAGGGCAGGACTTCCAGTGAATCGGAATGTCTTCATGTAAGCGTACACCTGCGTCTCAAACACGCCGTCTTCGGAGAAGGTTCCTTGAAACGGGCTGATGAGCTTTTCATCCACCGGACATCTAGTGGGAGAAAATAAAAGTGTCAGTACGAATCGTCGTCGCATACCGTAATTCCATTCCGGTGTCATACATTACGGCATTACTTTAATTGCAGCGGTTCTGTGTGGTTGGCGGTGCGGAGCAGCGTGCGCCTCCCTTCACGCACGGCTGGCACCGGCCGTCGGCGAAAGAATCTGACGCTTCCTTGTGTGGTACTGAGTGCTCACGCGAGCCAGATCGCATGCATCACAATCTTGCGGTGACATGAAACGGCACAGAAACCGCAAGGAACAAACTGACCCAGGTGCTTTTTGCACTCTTTCACCTCGTCCCCGCCTCATCCTGAACCCTCACGATGACTCAGCTCACTACAGGCTATAGCCGTCTAGGGAACATGCTAGAGCCGTCACCCAGGGGCCGGCCTCAAGCTCGCCCTGACTGAGAGCCCATCCCGAGCACAAGAGCACGCTCCGAACTGGGGCTATTGTGCCGAGGAAGACTTGGTAGCAGTGACGCTCGGGATAGTCACAGTACTGCTATACAACTCTCATCTTAGAGGTCCAAAATGGTGCGTCATGGACGAAATAGCTCTGATGCAACTGAATCAGTTGCCTGTTTTTTCATACCCGTAGTGGTCCACCAGCGATATTTTCTTGTCGGCTCCGTTATGGGCGTAGCAGTCGCTGACCACGATGTCAAATCCATCTGCAAAGGTAGCCGTCAACATCGGTCTGTTAAGATCTGGCAGCGATGGCTAAAAACAGCAAGCTTCAGAGCGCTCGGCGTCTGCTGCAGTCCGCTACCACGAGGGTTTATCGGAGGAGGTGCGACCTGCGCGCGCAGATCGGCTGCCCCGCCCCTTCCGCGCGGGCCGGCCGGCCCAGCAGGAGCCGTTAGTCAGGGCGGCCGGGTCGCCACAGCTTGGACGCCACTGGGCCGTATCGGCACGACAGACGTACTTCCCGGCAAACCAACAACACAAAAACGCCGGCACAGAGGGCGCCCGGCTGAGGACCCGCGACCGGCGGATAACGGTCAGCCGCGACAGGGGTGTGCGACGTGCCAGCAGCCAGCGGCCGTACCGCCAGCGACCAGCGGCCAGCAGCCAGCGGCCGTACCGCCAGCGACCAGCGGCCAGCGGCCCAGCAGCTGCCGGCGGGCCAGCGGCCGTACCGCCAGCGACCCAGCGGCCAGCGGCCAGCAAGCTGCCAGCAGCCAGCGGCCGTACCGCCAGCGACCAGCGGCCAGCAGCCAGCGGCCGTACCGCCAGCGACCAGCGGTCAGCGGCCAGCAGCTGCCAGCGGCTAGCGGCCGTACCGCCAGCGGATCAGCGGCCAGCAGCCAGCGGCCGTGCCGCCAGCGACCAGCGGCCAGAGGCCAGCGCTGCCAGCTGCCAGCGGCCAGTGGCCGTACTGCAGCGACCAGTGGTCAGCGGCCAGCAACTGCCGGCGGCCAGTGGTGTACAGCCAGCGACCAGCGGCCAGCGGCCGTACCGCCAGCGACCAGCGACCAGCGGCCAGCAGCTGCTGCCAGCGAGGCCAGCATTCGAATATGCTGCAACCTCGCATTCAACGGCGGGAAGCACAGACCAAGGTGGATAGCTTCTTCCGTCGCACCCTCAGAGTGCCGAAATGAGAGACAAAAGACTTGGGTTAACCCCGTACAACTCAGAACTCAATGCGTGGGATTTTGTCTGGCTGCCAACCCTTCAACGTTGGGGGGTCCCACTTACCGTACTGGCTGCGCATGTAGATGATCAGCGTGAGCGGGTCACCCACGCGGACCGGCCCCGTGATCCGGTTACCGGTGGTGCCATAGCCGTAGCGGATCTCCATGTAGCACTCGGGTGGGCTCAGAGTAAACACCACCGGGTTACCTGTCTGGGTCCTGTAAGGAGAGCCCACGTGAGGCTTGGAGACGGCCCAGGACGCCTGAGGTCACTCCGGACGGCCCAAGACGCCTGAGGTCACTCCGAACGGCTCAGGTCACCTGAGATCACTCCGGACGGCCCAGGACGCCTGAGGTCACTCCGAACGGTCCAGATCACCTGAGATCACTCCGGACAGCTCAGGTCACCTGAGATTACTCCGAACGGCCCAGGTCACCTGAGATCACTCAGGACAGCTCAGTTCACCTGAGATCACTCTGAACGGCCCAGGACGCCTGAAATCACTCCGGACGGCCCAGGACGCCTGAGATCACTCCGGACAGCTCAGGTCACCTGAGGTCACTCCAAACGGCTCAGGTCGCCTGGGGTCGCACCGGAGGACTCGGGCCACTGGAGGTCACATCGGACAGATCGGATCACCTGAGGCCATCCCGGACGGCTCAGGTCACCTGAGGTCACATCGGACTACTCGGGTCACCTGAGGTTACCCCAGAAAATTCGGAAACCGAGAGGCGCGAGTGGAACAAAGATGGTAGCGCATCCCCGGGAAAAGGAAAGCGAGGGGAGGAAAACGGAAATGCAAGTGTAGCCTAACGGAAAGGAAGAAGCAAACATGATATGTAAGGTCCCTATCGCTGTCCTCCTATCATTGTCCTAGCATTGTCCTGTCATTGTCCTAGCCGGAAGCCCCATGCAGTGACTTAGCGCACATCTGCACCGAACATGGTGATCCTATTATGCTGCTGCTTTACCGCTTCACGGTGATGGTACCGTCACGCGCAGTACACGGTGTGCATTGTACACACCACTCATGAAAACAATCGCACTGCAAAAACCACGTCGGTGACAGGAAGTCACACCAAAGACGGCTTCCCGCCATGATGAAGACCAGGCTTGTGTTTGACGGCGGGTAGGGATGGGGCCAATCCCGAAATGAACCAAAATTGCATTCAGTCAGCGTGATTCCGTCGATTTTGCTGATATTCATAGACGAGTATGAGTCAGTCAAACGTGAGTCAAGTCAATAGAAATATATGAAAGAGCATACACGAAAAGTGTGACAGTTTAGACTGCACTAGAGCATAGCTGGTTTTTTATCACTTCAAAAAGCCAATGCAGGCTCTCATGAGGCCAAAATGAACATTTTATGTCAACTGCTGGCACCAAAATCGACTTCATCGGAATCGATTCCAGAATGGACACGTGTCACTTTGGCTGAAAATTTGATCACTTAAAGCTGCGTTTTGTTGCTCGAAGCAGAATCAAAATAAGCCAGCGTGCGATAAGTCAGAGTTGGAATCACCTCGGCGTTTCTACCTTCTGATTCCAAAAGAATGAAGGGTTCCGCGCGTGGTGTGACACTGTTGCAGTGTCGTGCAGGAGCGGGATATCCCTCACTGTTGCAGTGTCGTGCGGCAGCGGGGCACCCCTCACTGTTGCAGTGTCGTGCGGCAGCGGGGCACCCCCACTGTTGCAGTGTCGTGCGGCAGGGGCATTCCTCACGGCAACCGGCACCGTGTAGCGGGACACTCCTCATGGTACCGGCGCCGTGCAGCAACGGGACACTTCTCACGGAACGCGCGCCGTGCAGCAGCGGGACTTCTCACGGAACCGGCGCGTGACGCAGCGGGACACTCCTACGGCACCGGCAACCGGTAGCAGCGGGACACTCCTCATGGTACCGGCGCCGTGCAGCAACGGGACACTTATCACGGAACCGGCGCTGTGCAGCAGCGGACACTTCTCACGGAACGGCGCCGTGACGCAGCGGGAACACTCCTCACGGCACCGGCACGTGTAGCAGCGGGACACTCCTCATGGTACCGGCGCCGTGCAGCACGGGACACTTCTCACGGAACCGGCGCCGTTGCAGCAGCGGGACACTTCTCACGGAACCGGCGCCGTGCAGCAGCGGGACATCCTCACGGTACCGGCGCCGTGACGCAGCGGGACACTCCTCACGGGTACCGGCGCCGTGACGCCAGCGGGACACCATATCAACGGTACCGGCGCCGTGACGCAGCGGGACCTTCTCACGGAACCGGGCCGTGCAGCAGCGGGACACTCCTCACGGTACCGGCGACCGTGAGCAGGGGACCAATCCGACTGCGGTACCGGCGCGTGAACGCAGCGGACACTCCTCACGGTACCGGCGCCGTGACGCAGCGGGAAATCCTCACGGTACCGGCGCCGTGACGCAGCGGGACATCCTCACGGAACCGGCGCCTGCGTAGCGGGACACCCTCACGGTACCGGCGCCGTGACGCAGCGGGACATTCCTCAGCGACCGGCGCCGTGACGCAGCGGGACACTCCTCACGTTACCGGCGCCGTGACGCAGGGGACACTCCTCACGGCACTGGCGCCGTGACGCAGCGGGACAACTCACGGTAGGGCGGACGCAGCGGGAACTCCTCACGGTACCGGCGCCGTGACGCAGCGGGACACTCCTCACGGTACCGGCGCCGTGACGCAGCGGGACACTCCTCACGGTACCGGCGCCGTGACGCAGCGGGACACTCCTCACGGTACCGGCGCCGTGACGCAGCGGGACACTCCTCACGGTACCGGCGCCGTGACCCAGCGGGACACTCCTCACGGTACCGGCGCCGTGACGCAGCGGGACACTCCTCACGGTACCGGCGCCGTGACGCAGCGGGACACTCCTCACGGTACCGGCGCCGTGATGCAGCGGGACACTCCTCACGGTACTGGCGCCGTGAGTAGCGCCGTGACGCAAGCGGGACACTCCTCACGGCACTGGCGGCCGTGACAACACAGCGGTCCCCGGCAGCCGACAACGCGTGGGGCGCCGAGCCCGCCTGGCGCCTGGCACGCAACAGCTATGAGCATGCCATATTCTTGCCTTGCAATAATGGCTTGAGGTGAGTGACCTGAGACCGGTAAGGATTCCAAACCATTAGCCGTGCATCATTCCTCCTCTCTCATCTTTCCGGTGCGAATTCTGAATTAGAAATTTGGCGCGCCGGGGCCGCACAGCGGTGTGGCGTTGCGAGCCACGGGGGTACGGCCGTCAGCATCGCACGCAAGCATTCGGGCAGGCACATACGTCCAAGGCTGTAAGCAAAACATGGACTCTCTCTCGCAGTGCATGTTGTCCACGGGTGTAAGCAAAAGCGGGACGATACTCACTCAACGTCCAGGAAGGGGAAGGTGACCGTCTTCCAAATGTCGTAGCCGTACTCGCAGGTCACCTTGAAGTGTTCGTCCCACTCCTCCTCAATCATTGCATTGTACTGCACTGACACCGTGTTCCACATGAAGTTTTTCTGCGGAAGAGTGCACACAGTGATCAGACACGACGAGATAATACAAGAACACTGCATGTTGCGCTAATTCCGAACGACGATTCGCCCCCTCACGCCCAGAAACGAAGTATGGGTGTTGCATTCTCAAGCGTTTCCGTTCTTTGCAAACGGGCAATTTGCTCCGGTATGCCCACAGCCACTTCCGATGAGGCGATAAAGCCGTGCTTTTACTAGCGTGTTACTGTGGCATACCTGGTTCGCACGCTTGCTGGCTCTCCCAGAAAAAGTCCTGAGAAAGTCTGGGCTTCAAATCAGCCGGCAAATTCCCCGTGTCCTGCCCAAGAGCGGCACAATTCCGCTGCAGCGGTACGAGGGGACAGCGGGGTACCGCTCTGTGTGTCCTCTCGCCTCCGTCTGCTCCCCCCCCCCCCCCTCCCCCTTCCACCCCGGTGGCCGTGGTCCGTCTACACCCGCGCGGAATGGCGGTAGTTCAGGGGTGCGAGGCGTCTGGCTGCCTGTTTGGCGTTGGCGCCCCAGGGCCCGCCGGCGGGGGGCTCGGCCAGCGCGGCCAATCGGCGCGGAGGGTCACTGGCCGGCGGTCGGCGATTGGCCCGGCGGGCGGGGACGGTGACCCGACGCCGTCGTCCCGTCCGGCCGCCGCCGCCAGCGGCGCCGAACGGCCAAATGGACCGACGCCTGGCACGCGGCTGAGGGGCGTCGGGGGCGGCTGACGGCGGCCACCTGCGGCAGCCGCGGGTTATGGGTGGCTGCCCTGGGCGGAGCGGGGTCGGATCGGACACCGTGACTGTGACGCTGGGGTTGTACCGAGTGCATCGAAAGTGGAACCAGCGTGACGTCACCACAGGACAGGTGTTACCTGAAGTCATTGTTTCCATCAGCATGAGTTGGCATTCAGTCCCCGGACTTTTCCCTTACAGGAAGCATCCATCACATCCACTCAAGGGAAACCTGTCCAGCTGTATTCAGGTCGTTCTTTGCAGCTCCGATTTAGCATAATTTCATTTGTTTTAAAATATTCAGCCTACGATGCTGGATGTCAGTCTGTCCAAAAGCACCCGGTCTTCACATACAGTCGCTTGCACAGCCGTGGTATGATGCAGCAGTCTCCAGCGTTCCAGGAATGTCTTTTCGACGGACTCGTACGGGACGAAGGCTGGAGGACAAGGCGCGCAGAAGTTTATCTGTTCAACGCACGGTCTGGAAGGGGCTACTGATTTTCCAATCTGTCTGCACCGAGACTCAGCACACATGTGTCCGTCCCATGAGGTTCCTGCCCTCAACAGCGCGGTTCAAAGCCAATCGTCATTGAAGGATTCCGACTTTTGAGCAGCTCTCCAGCACTCGTCCCCCTTCTTTTCAGCCCCTCCAGCTTCTCGCGCCATGATCTGCCCGCGTCGCTTGTCGGGAGGCCCCTCTGGGACCCGGGGCCCGGCCGGGTGGCTGTTCGGTTCCGCCAGCTGACTACGTCGTGTAATGGGCGTCTGCATGCGGGCCCAGCGCACGAGCGTGCCCGGTCCGACCACCCCGTCAGTAACACGCTCGGTGCGCCGAACCCGCGCAGGATGTGGCAGCACGCGGCCGGCCCGCGCGCCAAGCGTGGCGCACTAAAGGCGTCATGGCGCGCTTCAGGTGTCGGCGGACCCTGCACCTGGATGGCCTGCTGAATACCGCCGCCAACATACGTTTTTAGTTGCTATTTAACGTGAATCCACACAGGAAGAAGGTAGTTTCACTATCATCAGCTTGAAAATGATCGTTGTTACATAACAATGAGTCAAATTAACCGTCGCAGCAGGGAATGGATCGAGTGGTATGTCTCTTCTAAGAAGCAACGGGGAGTTAATCGTTCTGCAGGATGCTTCAAGGTGACGGCCTTATGATTTCACAGTCTGTTAATCCGGCTATGAAAAACGCTAGTTTGTTCGTCGACATGCTCGAATGCACATGGTACACATCAGATGTACTGAGAACATTAGGTTTTTATGATTTTTTTCTCGTTGCAGGTCTACGAGAAACGCTTTTGCTCACTCCAAGAGCGAATCGATCTTTTTTGCAATGGCTGCTGTCATCACGAGACAGAAGGACCTTAATCCAGCTCATGGCTCTCCATGTGTGTGTCTTTTTTGCCTGCGCTGCTCACGTCGGATTCCTCCCCGTCCCAGGGCCTCTAAGGCCCAATCTCCTTGGGTACTTTGGGTACTCGGGCTCCGAGCCAGTGACATATTAAACTTCAGGACGTCTAGGCCTGGGCTGCCGCCGGGTCTCCGCGGCCGTCATGTACTCACGCCGGCGATATCCCGCCCCTTGGCCTCCACGTCTCTCTTGTTGTTGCCGCCCAGCGTGCCGCACCGGTTCAGCTGAATCAGGAACTCGTACACCGGCCTTCCCGTGCCGTTGATGTAGATGCATCCCGGATCGTAGGCGTATCCTGCAAAACATGGCGGGCGGCACGAGTCATTGCGAGGAAACTGCAATGTGGTGTGATCACATTTTCAGACCGACTTCGGTGTCGCTTCAACACCTGGGCGGACGACGTTGTCTGGATCTGTTCCACCTGTCTCGATCAGGGAGATAACTATTGACTCGATTTGTCGGCTATGACGGACGAACTGCTGAATCGAAGCCGGGCACAAAAAACGCGTTCTGTCTCGTGTCTAAGCAGTCCGTACCGTGCACCCTTTGCCAGACATGGAGTGAAGTCATCAGACCATCACTAAAACGCCGAAAATGGGAGACAAACGCAGACAGGTGGTACCCCGACGGAAGATGCATTTGACGCAATCGTGGTAATCACAGGCCACGAGGCACGAACGTCTCCCATTACCGGCCGTCGGCCCTCAGACCATGAAACGATCACCCTGGCCGTTCAGAGGCCTCCGGGTGGCTCAGCGCCTCAGCCGGCGACCGGCCCGACGCAGGTGCGGCGCCACTGGCGCACTGGCGCACCGGAAAATAACGGCCGACGCGACGTGACGGCCCTGGAGCGTGGCGCGCGCGCCGCCCGGCCGCCGCTACGCACGCCGAAGTCATACGCGAGAGACGCTTCCGATCCGGCGCGGACTCGTTCACTCATGGTTTCATTCTTGCCGTGGCGCGGGCGGCTCGTGTCTGGAGGCGGCTCGCGGCACGCAGCGGGGCGTAAGTCTGCCCAGCTCATGACGGCCGGGGCTATCGGCCAGGCGCGGGGCAGGAAGCACGCGTAATTCGGCCATTAGCCGGTCGTCATGTTGCAGTGCTGGCGAGGCGCCGGCACGCAGCGGAAGGTCACGGCCCATGTCTCCGATACATTCATGAGAGGCACGTGAGCGGGGCAGTCTCGCTCGGCTGCCCTGACGTGTGGCTACTGCTAGTCGCCCGAATAACTTGTCTCCCTGGCAGAATAAGTGTCTCTTTATATGCGGTGCAATTCATGTCCGCCCAGACGCAAATGGTGTTTAGATCTTCTGCTGGCATTAATGTCCTTGCCGTTGGTGTGCTTTTGGTCCTGTTCAACAGAAACGCACTATGAAGAGGTTGAGATGATCGTGATTCCTCTGCTGTCAAACGACAGACTGTTGGGCCCCTGCGCCGCCGCCGCGCGCCCCTTGGCCCGCCCACCCTCCTGGCCGTCTGTAGTACCGCTCGGTGGGACATCAAGGAGAACTCTGCGATGGCGCCGCCCGTTGTTATGGAGCCGTCTCGGCGGCGGCGGCGGCGGCTGGCGCGTGCCACCACGGCCATTGTTGCACGGCTGGGCGGCGCGGCGTGCCGAGAGTGCCCAGCTGCCGCCGGTCGGCCCTCGCCTCGCATCACAGATCTGATGGTGACGTAGTTTCCCAGGCGGAATCCGGCCAGATCGCCTTGTGATTGGGCAGAGACGACAGCGGATCCGGTGGAACCGCTGGCTGGTAGTCCTTTTTAGCTGTCAGTAGTAAGGAGTTTGGTCCAGGTTGACATCCTGATTGGAAATGAGACTCCCGGTAATAGATTTATGGTCAGATTCGGCGATCATTTAAAACCACCGTCGACAGAGCCATATGAATAGCCCACTTTTCATCTGATCATCTTATAACACATGTTTAATCGTCCCTTAAGACACACCAGGACGCAGTAGCGCAATAAAGTGTGCAGTCTTATGGCGAAATGCATAATATAGCTATTATGCACGCGGAATGCTTCACCATAATGCTTCCCAAACCACTTGGTGACGAGTGAGGCGACAGGTCGAGGGAGTCTGCCTGTCAACCAACCGGGCATTGTATAGCCTCGGCTGTCAGGCCCGACCAGTCACGCTTTTGACGAGCTTGCATCTTTTGAAGGAGCATCAACCTCCACGCGGGAGACGAAAGTGACTACCGCTCGATGGGATTAATCGGCCAGTACGACTCCCCCCCCCCCCCCTCTCCTCTTCTCTCCCCCGCCACCCCGTCCATCGGGATGGTGTAATGGCCGAATGGTTACAGCCATTATTGCACCGCCATAAATTGTCGGTATCAGGCCATACTATCCCTTAAAAGCAGTAACTCTATAGTTTCAAGACACTTAATGCAGGCTGTTCGATCATTTAGGGTATTTCTGCAGCGTTACAATATCATCACTTTTTTATTGACACAGGAAATCAGCATCGGAAACATGCAATTTTAGGCCGCGGAAAAGCTTTAGATCGCGTGTATTAAACGGAGCAAGATCTTGGCCACCATGCATCACGGCAAAATGAAACGAACTTATAATGAAGGAGAAAACAGACAAGAGTCTGGCAAAGCTTCGGTCAACGTGTCCACGCTCTCACGCTCGACCGCATGCAAACCATGGATCCGCCGGTTCTCGGGGGCTAAAATATTGATGACGAATCCGTGCAACCGACTAGACTGAAATGAAACCAGCAATGCGAATAAACTGTATAGAAATCAGTAAACGATACTAACACATTTCAACCCATATGGGTGCCAGTAGTGGATCAGAAAGCCACCAACGTCACGTTTTCCGAAACCGACCTCAAATACAACACGTCAGGGGCCCAGAACGGGTGATGGAACTACAAAGGGGCCCAGACCGGGTCATAGAACTACAAACGGGCCCAGACCGGGTCATGGAACTACAAACGGGCCCAGGCCGGGTCATGGAACTACAAAGCACATTACACAGCGTATCTGCGACCAGTGACCACCAAAAACTAACAGCTTTTGCTTCTATGTTTGCGCCTTAGCCATCAAACAATCAAGTATTGAATCTGATTCACCTCAGTCAATTCAAACTGACGGGCCTTGGTGGCCTGGGCCCGGGGTCAGTCTGAAATGTTAGCCGTCGATGTCTAGTTCCCAGACGCCAAACATGAGCTGATGCAAACGCCTGCCAAGCTGATGCGAGGAAATATCCCGAATGCACTGGCAACGCTCAAGATATCTTTGAAGTAGATAACTGCCACCGGTATGGGTTCCAAAGGCAACAGGCTCCATACAGTTATGTTAAGGTAATATCCGCATGAGCATAATCACGTCTGTTATCGGTTCGCTCGTCTCGCGTGGTAAAAGATGGTTCACTGGTAAATCATGGTTCGACTATTTCAGTCCTTTTAGAGCATTTTCACTGGATTTGTGTAAAATTGCGTTGGGCAAGCCGTGGATGAGCTTGAAATATCATGATAAGTCAGTCCCAGATGTGAAGTAAGCAGAGAGACATTGGCATGGACACCATTCAGCTAAATTTAGATGAATGCAATGTTTGAATCTCGTTTTCTTTTTGATTCTCTGGCTGTAGAGAGGATCAGTAATCAGACCGAGTGGCTTGAGCGCGCGCCTGCGCTCCGCATCTTGAAGCCCAAACGGCTTGTCATTTGCAATGTTTCGATCAAATTGGAAATGTGATGGGTCATCACACGATAGACGGAATCACAATAATGAATCCAGCGAGGACCTATCACAACTACTACCCGACATCTAGTGCACGTATCAAAGCACCGAAAGGGGAATTTCGTGTCTTGCTTCTCAATGAGGGACACAATAAATCGTAAAAGACTAGTGCCAGCTCCTCACACCACCACATCACAGCAGCATTGTATGTATGGAATTGTGAATACTTATCCATAAGCCAGCAGTGCACATAACTGTATACTTTGTTGGGATTTCATTGTCATCTGTGCACGCTATGATTCTTTCCTTGAGCCTTATCACTGCCAGTCCTTATACCATTCCAGCAAACGGTTCTGCTGCTAATTCAGTGCCGACAATCTATTCCACTGTACCGGAAGTATTGTACTTCCACCTGCCGGTATCCATGGCTCATCGTTATCTTATGAGCACTGACTCAGACGAGCAGCTTAATCCATCTGCTCTTTCTTCAAATGACGTCATACCTTGTTCATTCATGACTGTCCCGAGCCTGCAGTGAAGGCTAAAGTAGCTGTCAAACCGGGCCGGCCCTGTAGTACAGTGTCACCATGGCACGCATCGTTCACCACGAGCGCCGACGCGCTCTGCGCCGTGGTGCTGGTCTGGAGAGCGCGGCTCCCCGCAGTGCGTGCGGGCCCTCACCTAGTTGGGCACGCGCCAACGACATGAGGAGGGGCGGGGGAGCGGTTCGGCGCGCTGCGTCCGCTCCAGTGTACGGCTCGTCTGACGACGGAGGCAGCCAGCCACGGCCCTCTCGATGGAGCTATATGGTCTGGCGGCCGGACATGTCTCGATGCGCCGGCGGCACTGCCGTCGGGACTGGTCTGGCCTTTTTAAGACGTCGCTAGCAAAACACCTCAGAAGAATCACGGCACTCTTTCGGCACCGCCGCTTTGTAGCGTCGTTAATGTGAGGAACGATCCATGTCATGGACCGTAAATTCAACGGGTGTGAATTTAATCGTTGCTGGGTTATTTCTGAGTCTTGTGACCCGCGCCGCGCTCTGGGGAGAATGCAGGGTAAATGTGCCGGTAACGGCACAGGCTCCATAAACAGGCGGTGCGAGGCGCCGCCGGATGGTCACGCCCCGCAGGGCCCGGCGTCCCGCACGTCACCCGGCGACCACCGCGCGCGCCTCGGCCCTCGTCGCTGGAGCCGCGCACAGGGCGCCTCTGGAGGTCCGTCCAAAGGTGCGCGACGCGACGGTGCTGTGCTTGTGCGAAGGAAATGACGCTTGAGTCACCGATGACTTCGAGCAGTGAGACTTTTCATGGGATGTCGGGTTCATTTGGGTTATTTGTGAGAACGGCCAGTGGTTAAGCTAACCATTTAATCCTAAGCTTGTGAAGATTCCATGAGACGCCTTTTAGAACCTCAGCACTTTTGATGGGATAGCTTGACTGCTTACCTGCCGAGTAGATGAGCCCGCTGAAAGTGCCGTTGAAATGGACTATGATTCGCATGAAGTCGTCTTGGCACTCTGCCTCAATATCTGCAGAAACGAGAACACATACGTCATCCCCAGATACTCGGGCAGCACAGTCAAGGACCTCAGAAACTGCATTCGTTCACTCGCAGCTTCTGCACAAAGAAGACTGATTTAACTACGTGACTGGCGAAGCGTGATGAATTGCCCTTACGGCAGCCATTCATCACTTTGCAGATTTGCATCTCAGTTATGATGTTTGTTGAATAGTATTTGGTCTTCGTGAACGTATGCTGCTCTTCTGTATGCCTGACTCCCCCACGCGGGACAGCCAGTGACCAAGGAATTGACTCACGTTCCACACGGGTCATGTTCATGCTCCTCCTGCGGACCTCCCGGATGCGATCCCAGGAGCTGCGTCCCGAGTACAGCTCCGGATCGTCCGAGGGGCGCGCGTCCCGGGGCAGCTTTGACGCGTCAATCTGCTGACGAGACCAAGGTCAGACCAGGTCAGGACAGGGCAGCGGCAAACGACCGGCCAAGGATCAAGACAGTGTCATACTGGGCGGCACGTGCCGAAGATCCATGTTGAAAGTCCAAGGATTAAGCAAAGAACAGCTATGTCCTTTTAAAGGCTTTGCCGAGTGACTGTGGCTTCGGGTTGTACAGCAAGCAAGGTTTCCCCCACCCTACGTAAACACTGTCATGTCTTTCTATTTCCATTCTGTTTTTTCCGCCTCCTCTTCTTCTCCGTCCGACCCCGTCTTACCGTCCGCCATTGCCCCCGTCCGTCCTTTCCCCGTCCGGTCCCTCCGTTCTCCTTCCGTCCTCCCATCTGTTCGTCCTTGTGCTCCCCCTCCCCCCCGGTCTTTGTGACCGTGTCTCCCTTCCGTCAATCCCTCCGCCCTCCCCCCCTCGCCCCCTTCTTTCTTCCCGCCGTCGCCCCGCCCCATCATTCCCTCTGTCCTCCCAGCGTCCCTGTTCTCCCCTCTGCCCATCCCCCCTTCCTCCCCTCCGTTCTCACGTCCGTTCCTGCCCTTATCCCCCGCTAGGTCGCTCGCTGCTCACCAGCTCGTCGTTGGTGCGCAGGGCGGCCGGGGTATCCTCCACCGTGGCCAGCTGACTGGTGCGTGTGGTGGAGCGCAGCTCGACAGTGGCCGAGCCCGGCTCGGTGGCCGTGGCCGGCTCCTGCGGCACCTCCGTCGGCTGTCCAGTCGGCGCCGGCGGCTCCTCGGCCGTCGAGGTCGTTGCCATGTCGCGCGATGTTCGACCGGCCACCACTTTGAACGTGCCCATGTCGAACTGGCCGTGCGCCTGCACACAAACGCTAGGATGTCCGCCTGTTCGGTCGCCGCCAATCAGGCGCAACGGCATGGCAAACGCTGGCCTTCCCGCCACCACCCGGGATAGCACTGACAGCATTAAAACAAACTGAGTCATGTTCGACACATGAAAGATGCTTAATTACAAACTACGAACAACAATTTAGACGCAGCTAGAGCACAGTGGCAGGCATAGATGGACTGGCGGCATGGAGATGGGTAGCGTGACGCCGCGGCTGAGGCTGTAGCTGAGGCGGTCCGCCAAGCGGCGGCTTTCAACCGCAGCCCAGCCGGGCAAATGCAGTCACCCTCATGCGTTTGACCATCGAGGACACTTGGCTGAGCTCGAGCTGCGTTCCACGCCGCCCGGCACGCGGCCGCAGAGCCAGGGGTCACTGGCTGCCGGCGGGGGAGGGGGAGGGGTCGGTCGCGCGTCAGTTATCGTCGCTGATTTGCGGCCATTCAGCGGGGGCAGCGGCGGCGCGGTCGCCTCGTTCGGCGGCGCCGTGTGTCGCGGCTGTGACCGCTCCACAATGGAGATGCCTGCTGATTGGACGCCGCCGACAGATGACGGCCTCGGGCACATGGAGCCTCGAAGCCGGAGGTCAACTGGGTGCCCACGGTTCGAGTTTAATGACGGCGGTGGCCAGCGGCGGCGTGGAACGACCTTGAACGTGATTGGCTCGGAGCGTCCATCATGACGCGAAAGGTGTGATCAACATTTGTAAACGTCGGTAGCCACCGGCCGCAGCTCGTTAATATATTACTTTAGATAATAGGACAAATGATGCAGCTTAAGCTATCGACAGTCGTTCGACTGTCATCTCTCAAAGTCATGGCGCATTGCTCACGCCGTTGCCGTCTCTCGATTTTTATGGGTTGGCATGTTGGCGTTGTGAAATCTTGCTGTAGCATATCTTGTGTGGAATAATGCCAATCTGGAACAAATTTACAGATCCAATCATGAAATGTTCAGTGTTTCAGCAATGATCGCAGTCAATAACCTTATATCTATTAAGTTGCGTATATTAACCTTGATATCCGCAAAGACAGAGTTTTATTTACCATCAGATATATTGAGTTCTTACTTTCGTTGTAAACACATTGAGGCGTATAACGGAAGACCACACAGCAAAGCTGTAAAGCGCATTTTATAGGCGTGCGAGTTTGAGGCACCCATCAGTCAAAAGTTATTATAATCCACCCGCAAACCCGCGGTCCCTTGTAATGATGCAGCTGGCGTATCTAACAACTCCAGACAACAGCGGATGGCGCACTTGAAAAGACAGCGTCGCTTCAGAACGCTTTCCATAAATAGACGTGAATGACCGACACCGCCGAAAGGTCATTGGATGCAGAGGCAACGGGCAACTTCATACTTCGAAAAACTGAGGAACCTGGAAGGGTAACTGTGACCTGAGCAGAATTCAGCTTTCAATAGAACCGCTTTTCATACGACCAGGCATTTATAGCATTCCACCATTTCATGCGGTGTATCATGTCATGGTCCAAGGAGAACGCGTATTAGTTGAATGCCGACAAAAACAGATCAATGGTGTCCAGTGCTGCAAGTCCGTGAGTATACTTCCCAGGAAAAGTGGATGACACCGTAAACGGCCCTAAACCGCCGCGGCAGTGTCCAACATCTATTTAGAACATGCCTGAGCTTACTTGAGTCCATACAACCAGAGCTGCAGACAGCCTGGGCAAAAACAGCACATGGACGGCAATTCAGTCCTTCAATTAGAGTCTCGTCCAGTAGCGTAGTGACGTGTCAGGTCGAGCTCTATCTACGTAAAGATCTACTCATAATAATCATGACGCCTATGTTTGAACGTTCCGGGCGGGCCTGTACCAAAACCTGTTCTAGACAGAATTAAATAAGGTGTAGCGCATACTTATGTCACACAAAGGATGTGCTTAACAGAAGGTAAGTTTGTGCGCGTCACAGCCTTTGCATTAGGCCATCTGCAAGTGCACGGAAGGTTGGACAATGATGAAGTAAGAGCGGGAAAGACGGAAAGAAAGAAAGGGAGGGAGAGGATACGAGGGAGAGAGAGAGAGAGGGAGAGAAAGAGAGAGAGAGGGGAGAAGAGAGAGAGAGAGAGAGAGAGAGAGAGGAGAAGAGGAGGAGAGAGAGAGAGACAGAGAGACGAGAGAGAGAGAAATGAGGAGGGAGTGGTTATCACGCCAGGCTGACTTTTCTGTACTGTAACATCGAAAAAACTCGCCAAGTTCTAGATCCGAGCCCTATCTCTCTCGCCTCTGTCTTCATCTTCCCTCTCTCCGCTCCTCTCTAAGACTCTCTCGTCGCTATCGCTCTGCTCTCTCTCCCTCGCTCTCTTCTCTCCACTCTCTCTCTCCTATCCTCGCTCTCTCTCCTCTCTCTTCTCTCCTCTCTCTCTCTCTCTCTCTCTCCTTCTCTCTCCTCTCTCTCTCTCTCTCCTCTCTCTTCTCTCTCTCTCTCTCTCTCTCTCTCTCTCTCTCTCTCTCTCTCTCTCTCTCTCTCTCTCTCTCTCTCTCTCTCTCTCTCTCTCTCTCTCTCTCTCTCTCTCTCTTTCTCTCTTTCTTTCTTTCTACAACTTACAGGTAAATTTGGAAGAATATTTACATCAGCTTGACTTGCAGGCAGGAGAAAACTTCTAGGGCTCATTTCCCGGTGACTTATTGCTTTAACTATCAGGCACTGACTGGACGCTCCACAGTAGTGGCGCGAGAAAATCGTGTGAGCCTTCATGATCCTGCTCTAATGACAAAGGGAGAGGCGGGCCGCGCGACAGGAGTGCACCCACCTGCACGACGAGCAGGGCAGCCACGATTGCCACGACGCCGCCACGCTGCACCATCCTGTCCGCTGCAACAGGAGCAAAGATCAGGAGCGGTTTGGGGAGTCCGACCGACGGGCCGTCCTTCGAGCATCTCACTTGTTGCGTTACAGGTTCGGTAGTAATGCAAACATTCTGAATGATTTGAACAACACATGTAATTCTAATCCACTTGGAAAAGCAGCTTGAAGCACACAACCGATGTGCTACTGGAAAACGCAGCACGCCTTTGTGTCAAAGCGAAACGCTACGAAATACCGGACATACAACGCTTTATAAGTTGTGAATCACGGCTAAACAAGACCAAAAATAATCCTCAACATTTTTGACATGTACATTATGTTTTGCCGTGACATTGTGATACATCCAGGTCTCCTCCTGATATATCGCATCAGCATCCATGATCACATATCATCAAGTGGACACGCGAAACCGAGTATTCTGCCGGCCCCCATGAACTCGAAGGGAAATAAGGAACAGACTTAGAGGCATCGCTCACTCTGGCGCTCCCATAATCAACTGTCATTTTCATCGCGTGAGCATCTGTTTGTGCGCTGGTATTCCCACCAGCTATAATGACGTCGGTGTTTAAGCAGTGCGATGCAATATGAGCCGCTCTGATTGCGATGACCGGAGGTTCTGGCGGACAATGAGCGCAGTGACCAGTTGGACTTGCAAAGCATGTGTCCAGGACGCCTTGATTACCATATCGGATCCCCAGCTCCTGCGCTGAGTTAGCTGCAACCAACTTCCGGTGTGTACCACAACACTGGCTGCTCTGTGGAAGCTCCTGTGTACAACACTGGCTGCTCTGTGGAAGCTCCTGTGCACCACAGCACTGGCTGCTGTGTGGAATCTCCTGTGCACCACAACACTGGCTGCTCTATGAAAGCTCCTGTGTACCACAGCACTGGTTGCTCTGTGGAAGCTCCCGTGTACCACAACACTGGCTGCTCTGTGGAAGCTCCTGTTTTGGCTACTGATGTTGGACTTCGCATAGAGCAACATTAATATGCGCTTTGTTTTCATTTTGGAACGCAAAGGAAGAATGACAGTGGCACTTCGTTAGCCGACTCTCTCTGCACGTGACGGCTCAGCCCGGAAATGGCGAGGGGTCGGCGAGGGTCTGATTCTGCAGGTGAAGCGCAAGTCAGGTGCAGTTTACGTCGGCTGCAACGTGTGAACGTGCAAGGCGCTATCATCTAATTTTGTAAGTAACACGATTCCTTAACATTGGTCAAGACTGTCACTTAACACGCACTCGGGTGGGGATCAAATTAATCCCCAACCAAAGGGTTTTCCGGAGCAGTTTCGGAACGGTGTGGCGTAGCCGCACCAAATTTTTCATAGCTGTCGGCAATTAAATAAGAGATCGTGTGGTATAAAACATTTAGATGTTTATTTTAAGGTTGCTGACCCATGACGGGCCAAAGTCAGGCCATGGTTTCAGCGAAGGCAATTTCTAGGGAATCGTTCAATCTAATCCAACAACGGATGGTAAGACGAAGCCACACACCTCTGAGATACTTTCTTGGGCAACACAAAATTGTGTGAACAAAAAAAATGGACCTAAGATCAGGTATGAAGCTCAGGCAGCTCAGGAAGGACAAAATCAGCCGTTTTTATTACTCTGGGGCTTGCCGCATGGGGTAGTTTCTGGTGCTCATTTCGAATTTATTGACAACAGAAGCCGCATTATACACTTTCCATAGACTTCTTAACGGTCCATTATAGGTCACTGACCTAGAATGAACCAGGTCAGCATTTTGTTGTAAGGGAACATCTGCCTAGCGTAACATTTGCCGCTTATCCAAATGCAAAAGTCAAAGCGGTCTTGTACGATTTTGGTTACAATGACTTTCAAAAGGTCAAAAGGGTTCGCTGACCTTAGATAAACATGTTACTTTTGTTTACAACACTTATCTAGGCTCTGGGAGCCTTTTGGAGACCAACCTGGAATTCGACCTTGTTTGACCCGAAGGTCATGAACTAGGAACCTCAAGCTTTGATCCAAGCTCTTTCACGTACAGGTCAACTCACCGCGCAAATTTAGTGTCTCTAGCTCTCTTAGTTCCTGAGGTCTCAGGAGGTCAAATTGACCCCCCCCCCCCCCCCGCCCAGCAAAGGGTATCCAACCGGCCACCCGGGCGCGTGTTAACGTGCTGCGAGCAAAGACAATTGAATTATGTCGCACGATCACACCAGTGACGTTGGGCGATGAGGGTTTAATTGAGCATACATTATTGGTTGTGTGACAGCCGTGTGCATTTCACCTAGTTTGTGTTCCAAAATGTTCACCATGTAAGCCAAATAATGCAATGCGTGCTCTTCATCTTGGAGTTGGAGTCCCACTTTGAGTCCCCAAAAGGCCTCTACTTATTTTGCCACCATTCAGAAAATGACACCAGGTTGTCAATAGCCCGAGCACAAGTTGCTCCTTTCAAACAGAAATGGGCATCCACGCAGCCAGGGCCATGGAATAATTTCCGTGACCTGTTGGCCAAAATCCACTAAATATTGCGTTATGCACATGGATGTGATGCATGAAGCTAGACTGTTCCTCGACATGGTTCAAAAGTCCTCAGGCGGTAATCCTCACTTCGTTCCTGTGCGGTTTGGGCTGCAGCAGACGGCTCTCAGCCTGACGGCTGTAGTTTAAGCCATCCGAACTGAAGCTTCTAGACACCGTAGCTGTTAACACATACTGTCATAATTTCAAGGCCCTAGCTTGCCGACAAAGGCCCGGCAGAGTTTTGGGGCGCCATGTTAAGCCTGACGCATGCTAGCCGGTAACCAACATGAAGGGGTGACATGGCTAAGGGATGGCTGGTGACATATGCCATTAGGATGGCAGGCACAAATCCGGAAAGGCTATACGGTGACACTGATTTAATCTAATTGCAGGCGATTGATAAGTTGCTGCCACTGGGACTTTGGGACGCATTCAGCTACTGAGGCGACATGGTGTCACCTCCTTTTCGTCCAGGCTAGAAGGGTGGGTACCGCGGAGGCTCGAATCCCGTTGTCTGGTTTCCCAAGCACACGGCTCAATCGCTGCACTGCCAGTGTTCCGCAATCGATACAATGTCAGATGCAAGCTACTTGTATTCACACCTTTAGATGCTGTCTCATGAAATCGTCACGATAAAATAGAAATGTATGTATATATGTCTGTCAAGCTTTTGAGCTTTCAGCCTTCAAAACTTTCCTAACTTACACAATTTCTTATTGAATGGCCCTTGGGATTTATGTTGCTGAACAGATGTAATTATACACCAAACGCGTTCCGCAAAATTGCATCTACGTCAGTGGATTATAATCGACTGTTATGACGAGGTAAGTGCAAATTAATCTCGTGGTAACTTGCCAACTATTTTGGGTGTGCTGACGACGCCTTGCTGTCTGCTACAATGTAAGCCGCCGAGCTGTTCATCCTGCCTCACGATGGTAAACCCACGAATGTAGTGTACAGGGAAGCACTTCAAGCAAGTGTGCGTGCTACCGTTTTCCCGTGGTTGCTTTGAAGTTGAACTCCTGGTGGTGTGATATTTTTTAGATCATACTAGCTGGTTTGCTCCGGTCAATAATTTGCAACCGGCAATTGTGCATGAGTGTGTGCCACCAGGTATAAGTACATCATTCTGTTCTCGATGACAGCACCAAAGGCGACTATCTCCAAAACTATCTTGACAGTATACCCATCTTCTTTACCCGGGTATTGCCGATTGACGAACGTCCTAGCACGTACAAAATGACGGAGACGAAAACACCCGCGACAGCTTTAATGAGCAAAGCGCTAGCCCTTCTGCGATATCCCAACGTTTCCAAAAACATGCGCAACTTTTAATAGTTTTATTGATAACCTCGTTATCCCTGAATGCCAAGTCCGTCTTTCTACGTCACTTGCAATTGTAAATATTTGATCGCATAGAAAAATTAATAATGGTACTTATAAATATAATCAATAATTCTCACGATGTGTAGTGCAATGTGCATTCACACCACACAAAAGGTATGCAAAGACAGTCAAGTCGGCGGAAAGACAAATTAATCATGCTGGTCAGGCAACTGCACCAGCTGTGGTTCTATACAGACTATAAAGAAAACAAGTGTCACGAACGAACACATTGATTTAAGCTATACACATTTATAGATGGATGAAGAGCAAGAGTTCATGATTTGCACTGGGGATGCAATTTTCAAGATACTTCTTTCAGCTCCATTTCAACATCGCTACCTTCAAGTATTTTTGAAAATTTTGACTGCTAGCCTGTAGGCGCCCACCAAAATATACGCCTTTCGTCATGGCAATATACCACATTTAAAACCCACGCTGCGTTGACATTGATCGACAACTGAGAAAAAACTGCTCGTATGGTGGCGATAATAACTCAAAGCTATGTGAAAAATAGTGTGAGAACGAGACCTCTGTCATTCAGGGCTGTTCTTTGGTCAGGAGTCTGGCATCCACTCATTCCCATGGTTCTCTGACGAGACATGAGGAGTGGATGTTTTGCTCGATTTTCATCGTTGGTCGGACACGTTTTCCCACGCAGGAGGAACGTAATCTTTCCGGATCGTGGGTCGCTCGCTCGCTTCCTGTCGGCGTGACATGCTGCCAGATCAGAAACTCAATCGGGCTGCCAACTTTGTACTGCGCACGAACGGTTTAATGTCACATTGGTGGTAAGACGTCTCAGTTGTCATACATATTATAAAAGTGTTTTTTTGTTTTACCACTTATTTCGAGGAGTTACAGTGCGCCGGTCAGGTGGCATTCGGGGATACACGACCGGTTTGGGATTGAGTAAGTCCCCTTTTGACCAGTAATGGCCATTGCAGGACTATATGATGAGGGAGTGTGGACAGTGATGTGGCAAAACTACATCCAGCTGGAGCCATCCTCTGATGTTTAGCTCACACAGGGACCCGTATGCGAGGTATATGCTCGACACTCGGACGAGGCCACCGTCAGGAACGCTTAAGCCCGCTCATGGCTGGTGCATGTAGCTTACCCGAGACAAACGGCGTGTCAAGGATGCAAGTTAGAGCAAGGATGAAGTCGACCTGAGTATTTTCTCACCTGTGACTGACGGGGAGGGCATTTACCTGGTCCACACGCCATCTTCG